GAAATCCAAGTTCTCTGCTAACTCACCACACTAAGTGTTCACATTTCTAATAAGATGGATTTCTACTGATTCAACCCTTGTAAGGGATGTGACAACCTTTTGTGAGACTGGCTTTCTAACCTTTGATGGATCTTGGTTTCCATAAATATTGCCATCTTTTCTCTAGATTTAATTGTAGTTCCAGGAAAAATAATGCAGACAGACGTAGACCTTGAGTTATAGCACTGTCTTGTAAATTCTACATCCTTCATTGAAGTCCAGGAAGAACATATTAGTACACCAAGTTTTATTTAATTTTTAAATTTCTGTTAATGTATTTAATGTGTATAATAACCCTAGGTTAGCAAATAAGTTATATTGTTTATTGGTATAATAATACTTATAATTTGTTAAAATAAATGTTCACACAGATGTATACACATAATTTCTTGTTAGAGACATGCCACTATTCTTAAAACTTTTCAGATATTCCGATGATTTGTAAAATACATGACATTTGATAATTTAAAAGATAGAGACTCAGTCTCTTAATATTTACTGTATTTTTGTTTAGCATATCCCCAATAAATGTGGATTTTTGTGTATGTAATTAATAAAAATATAGATGGAATACGATTTTTAGAGCCTATTACATAAGTATTTTTCGATTTTGCATAAACTCAAAGAAGAGGAGAGGGAAAAAATAACTCTGACTTCTCTTCCATTTCTTTTTTATTTTTTATTTCTATTGTAATGGGTAGAGATTGGTGAGAATTTATAAAATAAAAACAAAAATTTAATTATGGAAATAGTATGAAGTTATACAGATTTTTTTTTAAGACAAGCATCTTGAAGATATAAATAGCAATGTAAAGCTGACTTTAAACTGAATTTATATTTGCAATTTTGATTAGATTTTTACCAAGACCTGTCAGTAAATGGATGGAAAAAAATTAGTAATACAAAATTTTACTTTTGTTTTGTTTTTTTTTGTTTTTTGGAGAGATTTTCACTGTAGGGCGCGTGCGCTCGCCAGACAGACAGAGAGAGACATAGAGACAGAAAGCGAGAAATCACCCCCCAGGGGGGATGGTCACGCTGCAATCCCTTCTCCTCCATTCTCCTCTCGGGATTCTGGGCACGCACGCACACGCGCCCGGCAAAATTTTACTTTTAATCTTGTATTTTTAGGGATAAATATTTACATTATATAAATTTAGAAGTTTACAAATTGTAATTTTGTTACTAGTTCCTATATGATCTTTTCTTTCTTTCTTTCTTTCTTTCTTTCTTTCTTTCTTTCTTTCTTTCTTTCTTTTTTTTTTCTTCTTTTAGTTTCTTTCATATGGTCTGCACATAAAGGACTCAAGCAGACAAAGAGTAGGGGGAACAGCAAAAAATGTAGGGGAAGCTGGGTATAGGAACAGTGCTAAAATCCATCCACTTTTGATTTTAAAATTCTTCCGAGGCAATAAAGTATGTATTCAGACAGCTCTAAGTCTGAAAAGCACCTCATGTACCTTGACATTCAACAGATCTTTATTGTACTCCTCCTACCATCTGCAAAACACTGCGCTAGGGACAAGATGAATGAATCAGTCCATGCCCTCAAAAGGCTTTAAACAATTTGTGTGAGGCAGGAAAGCAGACACTAATCAGAAATGTATAATGCATGTGATAAGTGCCATCATAGAGATACACTGAAATGTTTTAAGACACAGAGGAGGCAATCTACCTTGACCAAAGGAAGCTTGGAAGGCTTTGGGGGAAAGGAGTGCCCATGTTGACCTAGAATGGATGAATAGAGGCTGGTTAGGGGATGGGGAGGGATTGAGGGCAAAGAACCTCAGCTACAGTTATATAAACAAGTACAGAAGTCCCACTGGCTGGTTATAACTGCAAGGTTTTAGGTTTAGTGCAGGTCAGACGTGGATGAAAAGGGAGGAGAGACAGACAGGATAGTTCCTGGGGACTCCATGAACAATCTGAAAAGACTGGACTTGATCTTGTAGGTGATGAAAAGGCTGAGAAGGATTTAATCCTAGAATTAACATGGGCAGATTTACTTTGAAATAATTCCACTTGACATCTGTGTAAAGAATGGATTTGTAGAAAGCAAGAAGACATACAAGAAAATCATCTAGCCTTTTTTTGGTCGGAATCACCATCTTCAAGTAATTAACCAAAATGACGAACACAAAGGGAAAGAAGAGAGGCACCCGATATATGTTCTCTAGGCCTTTTAGAAAACATGGAG